AATATCTCAAATTAATTTTTAAAAGCAATGACATAGAAAAGTCATTTAGCTTTATTTTGCCATTATTCTTCTAAACCGTGAATGTCAGAATGTCTTCCAAAATAGAGCACCTTCTCCCCATTTCTTCCACCATTATTTAATAGAATATTTGTTTTGCTTACACACAGATACAGAGACACATAAACATAAAGAGGTGTATGCTAAAAATCTCTAAGTCATGTAAGTACACATGGTTATATCTTAACTTTGTTAGATATGCTTTTTGACGAAGAGATTTCTAACATCCTTCAGTGAACAGTGAAGTATTCGGGAGACATGATTATGGATGATTGAATCACAGCTGTAATAGCACAATGTTAAAAGAAAAAAAAAAGACGGAACATTATTGTCGGATAAGTATGGAACAGCTTAAAGAGAGGGAGGGATATAGTGAGTGACAGGAACAATCTCACGGATTACTGCTTTGGCACGAAGATTCTACTATTCAACTAGCTTGCCAAACACATCGACCAAGGAAAAAGAAAGTCAACAGATTAACTTCAGGAATTAAGCTTATTAATGGGTTTTCATGCAGAAATGTCCCCACCCATCACGATAGGAAAAGGTTTCCTTTGCTTTCCCAGCTGCTAGAATATATATTAAAATATTTCTACATAAACTAATAGAATAGAGACTTTATTTTCTTTTGAAATGAATTCTCACTGACCTGAGGCAATGCTGTACTGTGCTGTCCTCTCTACCCATTCATTTTGGACTGATTCATATTTGAACCAGAACGAGTTGTTTGATTTAATCATAAGCTGAATATATTTGAATAGAGATTGTTCATGTTCACAAGCCTTCTCTCCTTTTTTCTCTTCTCTTATTTAGAGTAAAATTTCACTGCTCCATCCATAATGTAAGAACATGCAAGGAGGTAATTGGAATTGGAGGTAAATCATATTCTTTTGTAGAAAGTATAATTATTGGAAGTTAGTTAAAAACACCTCAATTCTGTTTTAATTTTCATGCATGGAGCAGTTGTTTTGACAGATGGATGGACTTTATTTTTGTAACCGTCCAGGAAAAGTCTGTGTAACACAGTCTAATCAGTGCTACATATCTGTAATGTTTGTTTTTGAATCACTGTGCTTTTGGCTCCTGTATCTTTTTCTAGAAGTAGACATTTCCTTCTAAATTTGTTTTTCAATGCTAATATCTTTATGCATAATTCCTCTATTCATGTGCTCTGAAAAGACTAGACACCGCTTGCTAGTCAGTGAGAATGATGAATCACTGTTCCTCAGGTGTGGCCTTGGGCTCTACCCACTTTTACTTTCAGGCTCATAATTCATGATGCTGTTGCTCTGGAGTAAATTTCAGTCAAGTGAGAGGTCAATATGGTTGTCTGAATCTCGGGAAGCCAAGTTCTTCCTAAGCTTGTCTTTGTACGTCAAGTTAAATTCCAAAAAGGATCAAGGTCTGAAAAATGAATTCATTTTGAACTGATTCCACTCTCTTTTTTATTACATTGTAAATCCTCCAGTGCTGAGCAAAACAGGGCAGTAGTTTAAGGCCAAAAATTACATTACGTTCTGAGTTTAAGAATCGTCATGGTTCAAGGAAAGGTCAGAAACACTCGTCCTCTGTCTCCCTAGAGCAGAAATGTGTGAAGTGTGTTTCCCTTTTCTGCCACGCTTCCTTCTCTTTAAAGGTATATGGAAGCTGCTTCCAAATAAAATGAATATCCTGTTTTGGAACATTCAAAAACCTTGGCAGCCACAAGCTGGAGAAGGCAGGCAGATGAATGACAGGCTTGTTACTCTTTTATGTAGGTTTTCTGTTAAGAACAAATCCTTACTAACGATGTCTCTTTCAAGTTTTTGGTTCTTCTCTGTCCAGTGCTTTCATTATAATTCACTTTCTTCCTCCATTGTTTGCAATGAGTCTCCTCTTAGCTATTTTTAACCAATTTGAAAGTATTTCCTTCCATTCCTTTGTTTTATTTCTAGCCTCTTTATACTCACTAAGCCCAAGAAATTCCTCTCCAATCTATTTGCATCAACCTTCACTTTCAAAATAATACTGAACTAGCCCCCAGGGCATGGCAACAATACTACCTACAACCTGCTGCCAACTGGGAGAGTTCAGTGGGCAATTGAAGGGGATCCTACCAGGCTGTAGGCCAATAGGGTGGGTCTGGCTGCTTTGTGACACAGATAGACTCCCATTATCAGCAGCATTCTCGGTGGAACCCTGTGCCAGGTTTCACAGATACTGCCCTGTGACGGGTTTTGTTTGATCAGCTCTGTAGAGGAATTGTCCTCTTAGAGTGGTCCTTCTATAACAGTTGTTAAAAAACAAATTAAAATTATGATATTCATTGTGGCAATTCCATGCTTTTAAGACTCCTGAGAGTTTTTCAGTTCTTAGCTATAATCTGCCAATTTCTTAGCAGGACAGAAGTGGTCTTCAAACAATTTGCTAATCAGTTATCCAGTCTATAAGAGATAAAGAACCCACCAATTCTGTAATATGAAGGTTCGTAACATTTGCAGAGGTGAAGTGAGCCTTTGTGACCAATGTTCCTACACATAAAATATTTACTTCCTTTTTTATTATGGAGAAGTAAGCTCCACTCTCAAATTTCTAGGAGGCACTGAGTTGTTACTGACAGAATTAGAGAATTTGGGTCTGTGGACAAAATTGCATACATATCTTTAAAGATCTGGCAGACAAACTGAAACCTTGCTCTTTTCCAAAATGAAAAAGACATACATCTGGGTCTGCAGCTATTACTTAATAGAATATTTGCTTTACACACACACAATTTCTTCATTTCAAGTTATAGTGCTGAAACTGGTGATATATAATTGTGAACTAACTATGACACTGGGTCCACAATCAGGAATGATTACTTCATGTAAAAACAGACTATGTGGCCACCTACATGTTTCAAAGTACAAACTTTACTGAAAATGGCTTCTTTGCAAATGACTGGATTTTAAGAGTATAAATAAATCCTTTGGGTAAGACTCATGAATGCCTCGTTTGTAAATGAGTTTATCAGATGTTTCCCTTTCCACAAACCTCTTTCCTCTGCCCAAGCATTCATGCCCTTATCCTCTGGGAGAAGGAGAAATAGTTACAGACCGAAGAGTTTATTGCTAAGAGTAGTGGCAGTTAAATTGTATGGGTTTCCCAGTTTTACTGAGGATATACTCTGCTCAAAGTGAGACATGGATGGGATCCACATATCCTTGAAGCTAGGAAATTTTTCCTCAGAATAACTTGCAAAATCATTTTACTTAACGGAGTAATTTTACTTACCAGACAGTGAATCTGTATAGCAAAACAATAAAAGAAATTATATGTTTATTATAGTTATCCCTCAAAATACTCCCCATATGCTAACACATGGGGAGTCATAATTCGATACTTTTACATTTTACTTTACGTAGGCTTTACTTCACCTTTAGGAAAATATATTCAAAGGATATCTTCAGGGTCCTCTGTAAGAAAATCAGTGAATTTAAATCTCAATTAAAATGCTCAAGTTTGATTGCCTGCCCTCAATTCCGTGGGGGCAAAAGAATTAAGACCACAATCATTAGGTGCAAATATAGAATACAAATGTCATGTGGAAATGTACTTCAACTATTGTAACACCTCAGTTGCAAACTCTAACCCGCTATGTAAGCCCACAGGCACTCTGAGCTTCTTCTGGAAAACTCTTAGGTCACAGAGAATGATTTTGGTTAAGGTGACCAAACATCCCGCTTTTGGTGGGACAGTCCCGATTTTTAACAATTTGTCCCATGGCATTTTAAAAAAAGTCCCGATTTTTGGAGAAAATGCACAACAAGCTAGGGAATGGCAGGACAATGGGAAGGGAATATACAGCAGCTGAAAAGGTTAATGTAACTCCATTTGGGAATGAAGAGGTTAATGTAAGTTCATTTGGAAATGAAAAGGCTAATGTAAACTCCCTACTCCCCTCCTGGGCAAGGTCGCCCAGGTGGACGGTGCCCTACTCCTTTGAGCCACAGGCTCTGCCCTATACATAATTTTTTTAATGTATTATATTTGTAAATTGTACTTATGTTGAAATTAAAAAATATATATATTACGATACTATTTTTGCATTCTATGAAAATTTTTGTTGCTCCATATAGACCTAATTTTTAATTAAGAACCCACCTCCACTACCCCCACCCCACCCCCACACCCCCATCCCCATCAAGTCAATGGTGTCCCGCTTTACCAATGTTAAAATCTGATCACCTTAATTTTGGGAGTACAACTCTCTTGGAAGTTCCAGTATCAACCCAGTCCTCTATTGTCTGTGCCATAACCATCTTATTTGCTTTTGATCTTAATCTGCATTTATGGTTATGTATTTGGCTCTTAATTTCAAGTGTTTATACGAAACAAAAGAGCTAGATAAGAAATTTTCTGACTAATAAAATGATTTTCAATGCAGTTTTTATTGTTTAGTGTATAACTGCTCACTTGGATATTTTCAAAATCAGTGCTAAAGATGTTTAAATTTCATGATTAAAGAAGATTATATCATCTTTTTTGTTTTCTTTTTCTAAAATGACATGCCAAGCCAATTTTGGAAGGAAATTTTCACCATCATGTTGTTTAGTTAATTGTTTAATTAATCAAATAATGTTCTCTTCTCCTCATTTCTGGATAAGTACCTGTGATTATTGGTTATCTAAAACTTTTATCCAATTTTTGTATAAATAAATTAGAAATATTTTCAATGAAAGAATTATGGAAAGGCATATCAAATGTGCCCCTGCCAGTAGTAAACCCTTTATTTTTTTAATGCATGTGGTGATACAGGTATGAGCAAAACAACAGAACAACACATACGCCCTAAAAATGCTGTAAAAGAGATGCCAGAAAGAAAGCAAAGAAAAGAAAGAAATTTGTTCCAGCATGCCTAGCACCCAGAGGATACTCAGTCAAGCTGACTGCTAAAACTCGCTGGTTTTCCTTTTGTCTTACAGAAAGAATGTGCTAATTTCATCAAGGTACTTAAGGCGTATAATCAGACTCACTTGTACGCCTGTGGAACTGGGGCTTTTCATCCAATTTGCACCTACATTGAGATTGGACACCATCCTGAGGTAAAGCTGGCTTGTAACAAGTGGTGTTTATCCATGACCCTGCCTGTTCAAATGCTTCTTTGCTAATTTCTTTAGCTTATGTTGCTTCTGAAACCTACTTCAAATTCAGGTGCTGTTATTACTTTCAATCTCTGAATGCAAAAAGGAGACCATCAGTGGACCATACCTCTGAAACAGGAGGGAAGAAGGAAGAAAGCATTTGTTTTCACCCTGAATGACAGAGTCCCGTCCATTCTGCGTGTGCCGCAGATGTCAGCAGGCTGAATGGGGGCTGTTCTCGCCTTCATTTATATATTGCCAGCTTTCCCCTCCGTTTCCGTCCTCAGTCCTCAGCCTGAAGTGTCTGCCACCCAGTTGTTCCTTCTGCCTTGGGGTTAAGGAAGGATTCATACATGTGCACAGTGATGTTATCTCACGTTTGACTCAAATTATTAACAGTTGTTTTCATGCTCAGCTTTGCTGTTTTAACCTCTATTTTTGGTTGTGATTTTGCTAGTATAGCAAAGAATAAGACAGAAATAATTTTATTCATCTCCTGCTTCTAAAAGATGGTTTAGTGAGAAACATTAGTGTGTAGGGAAACCTAAGTAAAAATGTAAATCAAGGGAATGCTGCTGATGTTGAAAAGGATTTGGTGAATTGGGCTTATAAATAGTCTTCAAGAATAAACTCTTACATAATTTTTGGCACAAAATCCCGAGGAGAACAAAAGCCTTCATATGGTGAGAAAACCATTTGTGACAGATTTTTTTTTTTAATTGGAATTCAGAAGTAACTAACAAATAACGGATGTTGTCCCGAGATATTTCTGGAATCCTAAAGATAAAATGTAACATACACATTAGTTGCTTATCATTTAAGCTTTTGACTTGCTCTGTGTAAATTTCTTAAGGTGCCCTAAAATCATGCAGATGTGTCTTTTGAGCCAACGGATTAGAAATCAAAAAAAGTTTGTTTTGTACCTTCTGCACCTAAGAAGTCACCTCAGCGACTATGTGGTTTCTAGATTGAGGACAGTTGTTTTTTACTATCGGTAACTATGAGAAGGTGAAGGCATTTTCTCCAAGGCCTCCCCGGTTTAGGCCCCTGCCCCCATCAGCCTGTTCCCCTGCCTCCTCCTCTTCCACACCAGCACATGCGTGTATTGTTTTTGCTGACATGCTCAGGAGCTGTAAGTAAAAAGTAAATTTACAAAACACAGTACTGTTTAAATTGCTTGTTTTATGTAGATGAAATCAGGAGTCAGTTGATGCTCATGGTCTTGGGGACCTTGTACATTTAGTTTGTTTTATGATATGGTTAGTCATTCCCTCCTTGCTGTCTTCCCAGTTAGTTCCTATATTAGTAAGTCAGGTGTCCTAAAATTTGGGACCAGAGTTATTGTCCAACTTTTCTGTATTTTGAAGACAGCTCTAGAGATCTCCAGTCACATCATATTGCACTTTTTACATTTGTCAGGAATCATACTACACATGATTAGCGATGGAGTTAGCACAGATTAGCAGAAAAGACAGGCTTACATCAGGTTTCACATCTAGATCTTGCTCTATAACCTACTATTGCTGGAGCATTAGAAAAGGTAATTATCCTTTCTGAGACTCTGTCTTATAATATGCAAAACTAAACCCATTTGATTATCTTGTTCATATTCTTTAAATGAGAGGTTGACTAATTACATTTGCCTTCCACCCCTCCTAGAAGGGCAACATTCCTTGACTTTTTTCCCCTCTATAGAAACTCTCAAAGTTTTAAGGCCATCATTCAAAGCATATTCTAGTCTAGGGGGATTTTATCCAACCTCAGTTTCATACTGACTGCTTGATCTGGTGCAAATCATTTATTTTCTCTGCATCTATGTTTCTGAGTTAGAAAGCCAGTGAAAGTGGTCTCTACGCCATACAGTTGTGTGAGTTAAGCATTGTCTAATAGGTAATAGTGCTGAAAAAGTAAAAGATGTTATAAAATATAAATATTTTATATTATTTTATATTATTTAAATATAAATCTGTACCTTGTTAAATATAAATCTTCATCCCAGGCTAAAAGCCGTTGCTGTTTTGCTTGCTAGTAATTGTCACCTAGCCTTTTAAATGTTTCACACTTCATTAGAGGTTGTGAATTATGGCAGTGAGCTCTCTTGGTTGGCAGGTGATTCTGCACTTAATTTTCAGCATTTTAAAATTTTTTGCTTACACGATGTTGATGATCATTTAAATTAAAATATTAAGTATTATTTCTACATTTTTATCTATTTTCCCAGAATGTTTATATTATTATTCCTTTCTGAAGTGGCTATTTAACAGTTTTAATAGCATATTCTTCCTTCTACTCATCAACTGCTCATTACTGCCTTGTGGGTGGGCAGGTAGGGGCATGAAGAGGTCCTGGAGCCAGACAGATCCTCCATGAAAACAACAAATAAATAAATCTCTTGTCTGAGCTCTTTAAGGTGAGAGATTGAGGTGAGACTCTGAAGCTCAGAGCCTTTGAGAGAGGTCCCCCTTTAGGTGCTCAGTGATTTCTATTTGCTTAACAACTATAGACAAAAAAATACTGTTTCAGACTGTTTAGGAGGTCAGAAGGAAGATGATTATGCAGTTACCTGGGGAATTTGGAGTAGTCTAGACAGTCAATCTAGGAAATTCTGGGAAAGATATTATCCTATAGTTTGTCTAGACTATAGCAAATTTAATTTTCAATATTTAAGCTGTCTTAAGAGGGAATATGCTTTAAACTTATCTGCACTGATGCTTAAAACACGACCCTTGTATTTAAGCAGTTTTATTTGTTTGTGAAGTTGAGAAAAAGAATATATGCTTCATATTGTTAGGAAAAGAAGGACAGTAATACAAAAGGATTAGAAGATAAGAATAGCAAGGAAGGCAGAGGCCAGGATCGTTAGGTTAGAGTCAGAAACTCTCATGAATGTATCAACTTTTAATTACAGGGGTTTCTTTTCAGATAAAGAACCCAGTTTTCCCCAAAATTTTGGTTTAGAATTTGCATGTATCCTTTGCCGTTACCTGCCACATATTGCAAGATACAATGAAATAGGAGTTTTCCTTTAAAATATTGTCCAGTCTTTGCATATTAAAAATAATTTCATCACAGAGAAAAGAACATTTTACTTTTGGATTTTATCAAAACTTTTATGGACACATTTTTTTTCAGTGTTCTTCCTTCAAAGTAACTTGTATTACATACATTGTGTTCCCAAGAATACGGAAACCCCCATTGTTGGAAAATGATGTCTGGACCAACATTCTAGATTGCAGAATGCCATACAAGTAAAGACATAACTTTGGAAGCAAGTGAAGGCTCCTTTTATCAATATATTTTGGATCTTATTGGGTGGAAATCAATAGATCCTTTTAAGGAATAATACAACAGTTTGCAAAAATAACCTTCAATTTAGCATTCTAATTATGCAAGTAAGACTCTTTTACTCTCCTAGAATCTTACTAGCCATACATGTGACAACCAGGATAGAATCTGAGAAACATGTCCTTAGGCGATTTCATCACTGGGAATATCATAGAGGGTACTTACACAAACCTAGATGGTATAGCCTACTGCACACTTCTATGCGTTATAGTCTATTGCTCCTAGGCTACAAACCTGCGTAGATTGTTACTGAGTACTGAATAGTGTACGTAATTGTAACATAATTGTAAGTATTGAGTATCTAAACGTATCTAAACATAGAAAAGATAATACAGTATACTAAGGCATTACAAAGGTTAATATGAGACTAGGCAATAGCAATTTTTTAGACCCATTCTGACCTTACAGAACTATCATCCTATATGATGTCCATCATTGACCAAAATGCCCTTATGACACATGACAGTGTTTACACTACTGAATAGTGTTTTCCAAAATAGATTTTTACTGTATTGTGAATGCCTCTGGCCATGCACAGTATGTCATTGATTGCTGTATTAAGCAGATTTTCTGTTTACTGTGGTACATTTGGGAATTGGTAGACATATTAATTAACTCCAGGTCTGTAAGATGTATGCCAATCAATTCTTGAGTATCTGCTAATAACATTTGAGACTGAAGATGACTGCCAGTAAGGTTACATACCTCATACATATGTGTGTGTTTATCATAAAACACATGCAGAGTTTATGGGAAAAATGACTCAGAGCTAGAGTACAGATGAGTTTTGAGTTAAACTCTCAGCATCCATGCCATTCAAATGAAAAATGTAAGTCATCCTTAAGAGGCAGAATATTCCCAAATGGTTTATAGTATATCATATTTCCCATTCAAATTTACATCTGTTAATAAAAAGGATGCATTTAGGAGAAGTATAACTTATGGAGGAAGTCTCTGGATATTTTCTCAAATTCAAATGGGCCTCTTCTACGTACAGGCAGGAAATCTAAAGAAAGAGGAACCCAGGTGAGAACTGGAAAGTATTAACTCTACAAATACTCTCATAATGTCATGATCTCAATTTATGTTAAAACCAAAGGGACATCTGAAATACACTGAGGCTTAATGGCTATCTCTGAGGTTATTTCTCCAATGACAACTCATATATCTACATATAAAATAAAATATTTTGTTTCATTCTTTCCTTTCACCAAGATTAGGAATGTGCTTTCATGCAGAACTTTGGATCAAATGCTGTTAGTAACAGGCCCCAAGGACAAAATATCATTTATGTAATAGGTGGTGTTCTGTTGAGGAATTTGTACCTTGTATAGCTAATCTGACCTCTTTTAATTGAGTTATCTCTTTCGATTTATTATGCTATTTCATGAAGCACATCTTTCTTTCTTTCTTTCTTTCTTTCTTTCTTTCTTTCTTTCTTTCTTTCTTTCTTTCTTTCTTTCTTTCTTTCTTTTTTTTTGAGACAGAGCCTCAAACTGTGCTCAGCGTAGAGTACTGTGGCATCACAGCTCACAGCAACCTCTAACTCCTGAGCTTGAGCAATTCTTTTGCCTGGTCAGCCTCCTAAATAGCTGGGACTACAGGTGCCTGCCAAA